TGCAATGAGCTGACACAGTGCTACTGCACTCCAGCCTCAGCGACAGAGTGAGACTCTGTCTCAAAAAAAAAAAAAAAAAAAAAAAAAAAAAAGAGTGACAAAGAGAGAAACACAAAGTCAGCACTTAAAGTCAGCTGAAGCTGAGACCAAGGATTTTTTCCCTTTTTTTTTTTTTTTTTGTTGCCCTTTTTTGAGACGGAGTCTCAAGCTCACGGCTGCCCAGGCTGGAGTGCGGTGGCGCAATCTCCACTCACTGCAAGCTCCGCCTCCCGGGTTCACGCCATTCTCCTGCCTCAGCCTTTTTTTTTTTTGAGACGGAGTCTCGCTCTGTTGCCCAGGCTGGAGTGCGGTGGCGCAATCTCCACTCACTGCAAGCTCCGCCTCCCGGGTTCACGCCATTCTCCTGCCTCAGCCTCCCATGTGGCTGGGACTACAGACGCCCGCCACCGCGCCCGGCTAATTTTTGTATTTTTAGTAGAGACGGGGTTTCACCGTGTTAGTCAGGATGGTCTCGATCTCCTGACCTCGTGATCCGCCCATCTTGGCCTCCCAAATCGCTGGGATTACAGGCGTGAGCCACCGTGCCCGGCCCCCTTTTTTTTTTTTTTTTGAGACGGAGTTTCGCTCTTTCACCCAGGCTGAGTGAAGTGGTACGATCTCGACTCACTGCAACCTCCACCTGCTGGGTTCAAGCGATTCTCCTGCCTCAGCCTCCCGAGTAGCTGGGATTACAGGCACCTGCCACCATGCCTGGCTAATTTTTGTATTTTTAATAGAATGGGGTTTCACCTTGTTGGCCAGGCTGGTCCTGAACTCCTGACCTCAGGTGATTCATCCACCTTGGCCTCCCAAAGTACTAGGATTACAGGCGTGAACCACCGCGCCTGGCCAAGATCAAGTATTTTCTTTTTTTTTCTTTTGAGACGGAGTCTCTCTTTGGCCTCCCAAAGTGCTGGGATTACAGGCATGAGTCACTGCACCCGGCCGAGGATTTTCTCAACCAAGGATTTTCTAAGATTCAAGCTGCAGGATTGTGTGTCCTGATGCGTTCATAGGCTACATGCCAAGAAGTTTCCCTGATCCCCATCTCTTCCCTGTGGGTCATCAGAGTTAGGTACATAGCTCTGACATGGCTCTTTGCCTCTGTCTAGGTGAGGGTCCCGATGTCCTGGTGTACAGCTTGGACTTTGGTGGGCATCTGCGGATGATAAAGCGAGTACAGAACCTGCTTGGCCACTATCTTATCCATGGCTTCCGGGTGCGGCCAGAGCCTAATGGAGACTTTGACTTGGAGGCCATGGTGGCTGTGTTTGGAAGCAAGGGACTCCGAGTTGTGAAAATTAGCTGGGGACAGGGCCACTTCCGGGAGCTTTGGCGCTCTGGCCTGTGGAACATGTCTGACTGGATTTGGGATGCACGCTGGCTTGAGGGAAATATAGCCTTGGCCCTGGGCCACAACTCAGTGGTCCTATATGATCCTATAGTAGGGTGCATCCTACAAGAGGTGCCCTGCACAGACAGGTGCACCCTCTCTTCAGCCTGCCTGATTGGAGACGCCTGGAAGGAGTTGACCATAGTGGCAGGTGCTGTTTCCAACCAGCTCTTGGTCTGGTACCCAGCAACTGCCTTAGCAGACAACAAACCTGTAGCACCTGACCGACGAATCAGTGGGCACGTGGGCATCATCTTCAGCATGTCATACCTGGAAAGCAAGGGTTTGCTGGCTACAGCTTCAGAAGACCGAAGCGTTCGTATCTGGAAGGTGGGCGACCTGCGAGTGCCTGGGGGTCGGGTGCAGAATATTGGGCACTGCTTTGGGCACAGCGCCCGTGTGTGGCAGGTCAAGCTCCTAGAGAATTACCTTATCAGTGCAGGAGAGGACTGTGTCTGCTTGGTGTGGAGCCATGAAGGTGAAATCCTCCAGGCCTTTCGGGGACACCAGGGACGTGGGATCCGGGCCATAGCTGCCCATGAGAGGCAGGCCTGGGTGATCACTGGGGGTGATGACTCAGGCATTCGGCTGTGGCACTTGGTAAGGCGTGGGTACCGGGGATTGGGGGTCTTGGCTCTCTGCTTCAAGTCCCGTAGTAGGCCAGGTACCCTCAAGGCTGTGACGCTGGCTGGCTCTTGGCGACTGCTGGCAGTGACTGATACAGGGGCCCTGTATCTCTATGACGTCGAGGTCAAGTGCTGGGAGCAACTGCTAGAGGATAAACATTTCCAGTCCTACTGCCTGCTGGAGGCAGCTCCTGGTCCTGAGGGCTTTGGATTGTGTGCTATGGCCAATGGGGAAGGTTGTGTCAAGATTGTCCCCATCAACACTCCAGCTGCTGCTGTGGACCAGACCATGTTTCCTGGGAAGGTGCACAGCTTGAGCTGGGCCCTGCGTGGTTATGAGGAGCTCCTGTTGCTGGCATCGGGTCCTGGTGGGGTAGTAGCTTGCCTAGAGATCTCAGCTGCACCCTCTGGCAAGGCCATCTTTGTCAAGGAACGTTGTCGGTACCTGCTGCCCCCAAGCAAGCAGAGATGGCACACATGCAGTGCCTTCCTACCCCCAGGTGACTTCCTGGTGTGTGGTGACCGCCGGGGCTCTGTGCTACTGTTCCCCTCCAGACCAGGTCTGCTCAAGGACCCTGGGGTGGGAGGCAAGACTGGGGCTGGTGCTGGGGCACCTGGAGTGGGTAGTGGTAGTAGTGGGGGTGGGAATGCTTTCACTGGGTTGGGCCCAGTGTCTACCCTGCCGTCTCTGCATGGGAAGCAGGGTGTGACCTCAGTCACATGCCATGGCGGCTATGTGTATACCACAGGGCGCGATGGCGCCTACTACCAGCTATTTGTACGAGACGGCCAGCTCCAGCCAGTCCTAAGGCAGAAGTCCTGTCGAGGCATGAACTGGCTAGCTGGGCTCCGTATAGTGCCCGATGGGAGCATGGTTATCCTGGGTTTCCATGCCAATGAGTTTGTGGTGTGGAACCCCCGGTCACACGAGAAGCTGCACATTGTCAACTGTGGTGGAGGGCACCGTTCGTGGGCATTCTCTGATACTGAGGCGGCCATGGCCTTTGCTTACCTCAAGGATGGGGATGTCATGCTGTACAGGGCTCTGGGTGGCTGCACTCGGCCACATGTGATTCTCCGGGAGGGTCTGCATGGCCGTGAGATCACTTGTGTAAAGCGTGTGGGCACCATTACTCTAGGGCCTGAATATGGAGTGCCCAGCTTCATGCAGCCTGATGACCTGGAGCCTGGCAGTGAGGGACCTGACTTGACTGACATTGTGATCACCTGTAGTGAGGACACTACTGTCTGTGTCCTAGCACTCCCTACAACAACAGGCTCAGCCCATGCACTCACAGCTGTTTGTAACCACATCTCCTCTGTACGTGCTGTGGCTGTATGGGGCATTGGCACCCCAGGTGGCCCTCAGGATCCTCAGCCAGGCCTGACTGCCCATGTGGTGTCTGCGGGGGGACGGGCTGAGATGCACTGCTTCAGCATCATGGTTACTCCGGACCCCAGCACCCCAAGCCGCCTCGCCTGCCATGTCATGCACCTTTCGTCCCACCGGCTAGATGACTATTGGGACCGGCAACGCAATCGGCATCGAATGGTCAAGGCAGACCCAGAGACCAGGTAATATATGCTCCTGGGCAGGGTGTGGTATGGGTCATGCAGATGCTCCCAGGCTTGCAGGCTCCACCTGACAGCTGCGTGTTGTCCCTGCAGGTACATGTCCCTTGCTGTGTGTGAACTTGACCAGCCCAGCCTTGGCCCCCTTGTGGCTGCAGCCTGTAGTGATGGGGCTGTAAGGTGAGAGCACAGGGCCCAGTGGGGCGGGAGACAAAGGAAGTAAGGTTGTTTAGGATGCATTCTGAGCTAGGCCACCCCCCGCCCCCCAGGCTCTTTCTCTTGCAGGATTCCGGGCGGATTCTGCAGCTCCTTGCTGAAACCTTCCACCATAAGCGATGTGTCCTCAAGGTTCACTCCTTTACACATGAGGCACCCAACCAGAGACGGTGAGAGGGGCTGGATGATGGTCCTGCATGGGCTGGGTGGGGGGGGTTCCTGTTGAGCTTCATCTCTGTCATTGACCAGGTTGACTTTTCCTGGCTTCCAGGAGGCTCCTCCTGTGCAGCGCAGCTACTGATGGCAACCTGGCTTTCTGGGATCTCACCACCGTGCTAGACCATGGCTCCACTGTCCTGGAGCCTCCAGTGGATCCTGGGCTTCCCTACCGTGAGTAGCTAATGTGCAACCATGGCTACCCCTCCTCACCTGTTACATAGCCCTCACACATGTGACAGGCGGGGCCCTGACAACTACCCTCTTCCTTCAGGGCTTGGCACCCCCTCTCTGACTCTCCAGGCCCACAGCTGTGGTATCAACAGCCTGCACACGTTGCCCACCCGTGAGGGCCACCATCTCGTGGCCAGTGGCAGTGAAGATGGATCCCTCCATGTCTTTGTGCTTGCTGTGGAGATGCTAGAGCTAGAAGAGGCTGTGGGAGAGGGTGGGCTGGTACCCCAGCTGCGTGTGCTAGAGGAATACTGTGTTCCCTGTGCACATGCTGGCCATGTGACAGGCCTCAAGATCCTAAGCCCAAGTATCATGGTCTCAGCCTCCATTGATCAACGGCTGACCTTCTGGCGTCTGGGGCATGGTGAACCCACCTTCATGAATAGCACTGTGTACCATGTGCCAGATGTGGCTGACATGGACTGCTGGCCTGTGAGCCCTGAGTTTGGCCACCGCTGTGCCCTTGGGGGTCAGGGGCTTGAGGTTTACAACTGGTATGACTGAGGTATCCCACGGTGGCCGGTGTGCTGGGCATGGGGCCTGCTCGCAGACAGCATGGAGCAGGGATGGGCTGTCTGTGCCCATGCTCAGCATGCCTTGAGGGGAGGAGGTGGCGGCCGCGGGTTCCTGACATCGGTCTAGGAACTGAAGGTGAGTGGAGTGCTGCCAAGAATATGCCCCACTCCCCATGACAAGACAGAACTTTGTAACAGTACCAATTTATTTTGGCCGTGGGTTTTTGCTTTTTTTCCAGTTGATGACTTTGTGAACATTCCCAAATATTGGAGCCTCTGTGGCCTTAGATGTGGCTCAGTGGAGGGAGACCCAGCATAGCCAGGCCAGTATGGAGCACCTCACGCACAGCCCTCAGAAGCTGCAGGCGGACGAACATCTGACCAAAGCGGTGTGGTCGAGGCTCCTGAAAGAGAAGGGGCCTACTGGTCTCATCCTCTGCTTCCTTTGTCTTTACCCTGTACCTCTCTGCACGTCCCAAACCCGTTTTGCTGTGCGCTCACCCCTAGGATGTGTACTCGGTTGTAGTAGGAGCTGAAATCCATGCTGAGCTGTACCAGGAACTTGCACATCTAGAGACAGAGACTGAGTCACTGGCCCATCTCTTTGCTCTTGTGCCCCAGGCCAGAATAAAGAATAGAGTATAGAGTGTCCTGGTTGTGCCTCACCATCTCTGTGCGTGCAGTGATGTGGAGCCCTGGGGCTGTGCAGTCCAGCATTGCTGTCTGGCTCAGCAGATCCGGAAAGGGGAGGATATTGTTGAAGAGCAACAACCACTCACCCTGTGGGGGAGAAAGGTGCTGGGAGGGGAAGTCCAGGCTTCCTTTGTGCCAGCTACCGGGAGGGACACTCACCTCATCATGTAGTAGTGAGAAGTCCAGACTGCTCACAGGAGGAAAAGTGGGGTACAGACCTTGTTCCATACTACACTTGTAACTCTCAAAGAGTGTGGCAAGACGGGCACAATTATACATGACAAAGGTGCCACTCTTTGTGCCCTTTGTGGAGATGTTCTTGTCAGCCAGAGCCAGGAAGAGCTAGGGAATAGGAGCACAGCTGCAGAGAGAAGGCAGCCACCACACCTGGTACCCCAGCACTGGCCCTGTCAGGCTCCCAGGCTCACCTGACTCTGTGGGGCTGTGCTCAGCATCTCAAACTTGATGGTGGCCACAGAGAGAACACCAAAGATCTCTGTCCAGGCTGGGTCTGAGGGAGTATAGGATTGGTCATTCAGTCTGCAGGCAAAGGCAGGGATGCAAAAAAACCTGCCCCTAACCCAGAACATAGCCAGGGTTTCCCAGGCATACCTTGGGCCAGATCCCCACCATGCTTCAGTGCTGAGGCCTTGCACACCTGGGCATGCCGGAACCTGTGTTTGGAAGAGAGGCCAGTGGGCAGGGTCGTGGGTGAAGAGTCCCCCCACACTACCCTGGCTAAGGTTGGTGTTCCTCCCAGCCTCACTCACTTGTAGTACTCAGGGGCAGTCATCAGAGGGCCAGGTGCACCAGCTACTTTCACAGGGCCACAGATCAGGTGCTTCTGTCAGGAAGATGGCAGGGGCTCAGCCTAGTTGGCACTACTCTCCAGGAAGTCCCTTGAGGAGCCCAAATCTGGTGCCTCTACTCAGCCCATATTCTCTCAAATTGGAACTGCCAGGTTGAGTGGCTCCTTCTACCCAGCTCCTCAGGCTACGCACGGTTCAGCCTTCTCAACCTGGTCTTCGGTGTTCTTGGGATGTGTCTACAGAGCCCCCGCCCTTCCCCAGAGCTTCCGCACCTGCTGCACATGCCCTCTCAAGTCCAGCAACTCCCCCAAGATGAAGTGTCAGTTTCTGGACCTGTCAGCTAACAAGCGCCTCGGTGGGTTTTCAAGGGCCCTCTGAGGTTAGGGGTTAGGTGGTGGGGAGCTCCATCATTAACCCACCTGTCTGAGTGGAGCCTTGTCAACCAACTTCCGCCAAAGCAGGTCCAACTTCTGTTGCTGGAACTCCTCCTCACAGCTAACAACATGTACAACCAGGCAGCTGTCTGTACCAGTATCTGGGGACCCAGCCTAAGGGAGGACAATCATAACTGTGGAAGTACAGTATACTTGGTTTGGGAGAACCTACAGGGCTGGGAGTCACTAACCAGGCCTGGGTGGCTGTCCTCTGGCCAATGCCATAGAGCCTCCTGCAGCTCAGCTAGCACAGACAGGAGATCCTCAGTCACTGCAAAGAGAACAGACAGGTGCTGGGGCTGGCAAGAAGCGGAGATGTCGCCCCCCCCGCCCGCTCCTGCCTTTTCTGGCCTTGCTAGGCTACAGGTCCTACCCAGACAGTTGTCCAGGTTGGGGTCATAGCCAGCTGTACGGCCCTGTTCTTCCACCAGCTCCTTCAGACACAGTCTGCCTAGGATGCCAGGGGACAGTGTCCTCCCATCATGAGCAGAGGTAAGTTCTTCAAGGGCGTGGCTCCTCAGGGTGTGGGGGGAAGCTCTCTCCGAGGCAGCGGGCCAGTCCACCCGCAGTTGCTGCAGGAAGGTCAGCATGTGCGGATCCTGCACAGCTGGCACTAGGCGCACGCACACCCTGGGAAGGGAGGGCGGTCGCCTCAGCCTGAGCAGCTGGTCCAGCTCGCCAAGACTTCCCACCTCCAGCCGCTGTCCCCGAGGGCGACGCCGCTCGCTCTCTAGGTCCCCGGTAGTCCCACCTTCTCCATTCCGGCCCTGAGGCCCCGCTCACCCGTGAGCGCGCAGAGCTCGCGCCAGGTGATCAGCCACGAGCACCGTACGCAGCTGGCTCAAGCGGAGTGCGCAAGGGGAGCTGCGCAGGGCTGGGCAGTGTAGTAAGACGCGCTGGCCCGGCAAGGCAGGCAAGGCTGGCGAGGCATAGGCGGCTACGGTGCTGAGGACGCGCTTGAAGACCGCGGGCCGCTGCAGTTGGAGAGACAGACCCGCGGGAGTCGGCGCGCAGCGCAGCACCGGGGCCACACCGGGACCCTGCAGGCAGGCGAGGGCATGGAGCAAATGCTCGGGCACCTGCGGGAGAATGGGCGTGTGAGCGCGCCACGGCGCGGGACCCAGCTCCCGGCCGCACGGCCTCGCCCGGCTCACGCCCACCTGGCCGTCATCGAAGCGCGCCTGCAGCGCGCGGTGCGGTGCCAGAAAGTCTCGGGAACGCAGGTGGCGGGTGCGCGTCTCCTTGATCCATACCGGATTGCCAGGCCCCAGGGCCGCGTTGAGGGCCCCCAGCGTCTCCCCGACCCCAAGGCGCCTGGTCGCCATGGTGACCGGAAGGAGTAAGCGGAACCGGAAAAAGAATTTAGGGAGGTGAACTTCCGGAAAGGACAGACTGGCTGGGGCGGGTATGCGGCGGCGGTCCGCGTAAGAGGACAGATTCTGCCAGCAGGAGCCGTGTCGGCTACTTTCGACCTACCACCCCCAGCGCCCCTTCCGCGCTGTCCACTTGCACAGCCGGGCCCTGGATCTGAAATCTCGGGAGTCCTTCCCGGGCCTAGGGTTCTTTCGCTGTGGCCAGGTCTCAACCAGGAAAAGGATCCTCGCGACCCGGTGGGGGATCAGACAGGGTACCGTCTCTTCTCATCGATGTCTCACATCTTTGTGTTAATAACATTTCATTTCTCCCATTTTACACATGATGAATACTTGTCACTGGAATAAGGCAGTATAACATTAAGGCCACTTTCACGACCTACTTAAAACATCGTTTTAAAAAGAATAGTGTTCCGCGGTTTCAGGTTATTTGCAAGCATTTTCTCGTTTGAGGTATGAGTGTTTTTCTTTTGAGACGGAGGCTTGCCCTTGTCTTCCAGGCTGGAGTGCAGTGGCACGATCTCGGTTCACTGCAGCCTCCGCCTCCCGGGTTTAAGCGATTCTCCAGCCTCAGGCTCCCGAGTAGCTGAGATTACAGGCGCCCGCCACCACCCCGGCTAATTTTTATATTTTTAGTAGAGACGTGTTCCGCCATGTTGGCCCGGCTGGTCTCGAACTCCTGACCTCGTGATCTGCCCGCCTTGGCCTCTGAAAGTGCTGGGATTACAGGAGTCAGCCACTGCGCCCAGCCCAGGTCGTCTTTATGCCCAATAAATGCGCACTCTTGATACAATTGCCAGTTTTCTTCTCTTGATACCTGAGAAATTACAACCATCATGATGTCTTCCAGAATGACCAGCTTTTTTTTTTTTGAGACGGAGTTTCGCTCCTGTTGCCCAGGCTGGAGTGCAGTGGTGCGATCTTGGCTCACCGCAACCTCCCCTTCCCGGGTTCAAGTGATTCTCCTGCCTCAGTCTCCCAAGTAGCTGGGATTACAGGCATGCGCCACCACGGCCGGCTACTTTTGTATTTTTAATACTTTTAATAGAGACAGGGTTTCTCCAAGTTTGTCAAGCCTGGAACTCCCGACCTCAGGTGATCCGCCTGCCTCGGCCTCCCAAAGTGCTGGGATTACAGGCGTGAGCCCCTAAGCCCGGCCTAGAATGACCAGCTTTTAATGTGACTCCTTTAACCTGGTGTGCTTTAACAAGGATCCTTACGCTTCCTGTTTTAGGCAACAGCCATTTACAGGCCAATCAAATAATGCGACCATAAGAAGTAGAAAAATAGGCCTCAGTTGGAATATCTTACTCCTCTATCAATAGGAAAGCTTTTTTCTTTCTCCCACAAAGATTCCCAAATGTTTTCATTTCACTGTAACATACTCACCCCCCACCCCACCCCCATTCCTTTTAATAGAGAAGCTAACTCAGTAGAGAGTTGGGAAATCCGGAGAGCAGGAAAACCCAGGGGCAGGAAAAGCTTGGCAAGGCCCTTTTCTGGGCCAGGGCTGAGGCCCTGCTGGGAGGCGCCGAAAGAGCACTGGGCGGACACGACATTCCCGATGGCTTCTCGGGGGCCCACTCAACGGGAGTGATCGTGTCATTCCAAAGCGCTTTCCATGCTGAAGGTGCATAACCTGGAGACAACTGCTTGGCAGGGTTGGGAACCCTCAGCCAAACTGAGGACTTTAGATACTCTCATCCACGAAGACGGTTGGGGTGGTTTTTCCCCAGGAAGTAGAGGGCTATCTTTAGCGAAATGCGGGCTGAAGCAGCCCTCGGGGACTCACTACCATTGCATTCCTACCCGGAGGTCCTGGGTCCACCCTCCCTCGCCAGTGCTCCCCAGGGTTCCAGAGATGGCCACCAGCCTGGGCTCTCCCACCTCTACACCCATCACCTCCAGCCTGAGGGCGCACCTGAGAGGAACTGAGACACAAGCGGCTCAGTAAATTATGTCTGGGGGTCAGGGGCACCCCATCTGGGCCAGGGCGCTGCTCAGGCAGGAGAGCAGGGGACGAAATCCAAGCGCAGCTGGAATGCTCTGGAGACAACAGCTGCTTTTGGGATTCCGTTGCCCGCTGTCCAGCCGTTGGCGGGGGGGCGGGGGAGCTCCTGCCCCCAGGTCACTCGCCCTGGGGCCACATCAGAACCCGCCCATCCCCAGTCCCAGGAGGAAGACCCGGGAGTAGGCTGTGAAACCGAGTCTAGAGGGAACAAGACGCTCACCTGGGCCCCAGAACAATAGAAGGGGAGGTGGGGGCCTCCCCTGGGACCGGGTCCCGATCCGGATTAGATCCGCGGGGCAGGATTAGCCCTGTTGGTCCCACGAAGCCTGCCTGGGCCACTGGTGCGGTGACGGTGGTGGGGCGGGCTTCGGAATCCGCCAGGAGGGAAGCGCGCCCGTGGGGCCGGAGAGGAAGTAAACCCGCGCGTCCGCCTCGGGGACACCCCCGCGCTCGTGGCCTTTGTCCGGTGACGCTGCCAGCGCCCAGAGCACCAGGAGCCGAAGGGGTCCACAGAGCAGCAGCGGGACCCCCGGAAACCCATTGCGACCGGCCCCAGGGGACCCACCACCAGGCCCCGACTGTGCCTAGCTTCCCGCTCGCTCGGCCCCGCGGGTAGCGAACGCGACAATGTCCCCCTGAGGCCACGACAGAGCCGGCGTGCCGAGATGCCCAAACCCCGCGCGGGCGCCAGCGACTCTCGCGCCAGTAGGCCCTTGACTTGGATCAAGACGGGGGACGGGGAACTCCCAGGACGCGAGGAGAGTGAACGAGGACAAGGTGATGCTCCACGCGCTTCTACTTCAAGTCTGGTCCTGTTCGGCCTGGTCTGGCCCAGCCGAACAGCCAGCCCAACACTACCACAGCTTGCCCTTCCGCTTGCTCTGGCTGCCCGCAGACTTGGAGCCATTTTAAGGAGAAACCATCTGGCCACGCCCCTTGGAGCACCCGAGAAGCCAATCCACGCTCGGCCACGCCCCCCTCCGGGGGCGGTGGAGAGGCCAACGGTCGCGCGGGTGGCGGTTAGGGCGGGGCGTGCCTCGGCGCTGAGCCGGAGAAACTTGAGTCGACTGCCCCGCCCACGGTGCCCGAAGCCCCAAAGGCTGGGATTAGGGGCTAGAAGTCTGGCACCGACCGCCTGGCCAGGTGTTCGGGACAGGACTAGGTGGGCGACCGCCCCGCCCCGGGAGCGCGGCTTAATAGCTGAGAGCCCGGGGGCCAGGCCGCGGCTGCGACCCAGGCAACGCCCTGAGGGCGGACACGCTACCCGGTGTTCCACTCCCCTGGGACAGTGGGCAAGGGCCCGGGACGGGGAGGGCGGCAGGTGCTGACACTGGAGCTGCGCCGGAGGTCGGGGAACTCGGCCTCCTCGGACAGATGACACTCGCCTGCTGGGCCGGCCGCGCTGTGCGGTGCCCTCCGGGACGCAGGGGGCGCTGCAGCCTCGCTGGGTCAGGCTCCGCAGGGCCCCGCCAACCTGGTGACTAACGGCGCCGGTGACGACTTCGCCGCGCGTCGCTCAGCCATGGCCACCGCTCTCGCGCTGCGTAGCTTGTATCGAGCGCGACCCTCGTTGCGCTGTCCGCCCGTTGAGCTTCCCTGGTGAGCCTGGACCCCGCGCCCTCGACCATCCCTCCTCTAGGGCCGGCGACCGCCAGCCCAGCACCTTCCGGCCTCTCGGGCGGAGCAGCCCGGCCCCACTCCCCTGACCCTTTTCTTCCGCAGGGCCCCGCGGCGCGGGCATCGACTCTCGCCGGCGGATGACGAGCTGTATCAGCGGACTCACATCTCTCTGCTACAACGCGAGGCCGCTCAGGCCATGTACATCGACAGCTACAACAGCCGCGGCTTCATGATAAACGGAAACCGCGTGCTTGGGCCCTGCGCTCTGCTCCCGCACTCGGTGGTGCAATGGAACGTGAGTCCTGGCCCGCAGTGAGGAAACTGAGGCCCAGAGTCACAGGCCCTCACCCTGCTTGTGTCCCTGTAAACTTGGCTTTCCTCTATGTCCTGTAGTGGATGGAGGTGGGGAGAGGCTGCGTGGATTTGTCGTATTAAATATGCCTCCTCCCTGCACAGGTGGGATCCCACCAGGACATCACCGAAGAGAGCTTTTCCCTCTTCTGGATGCTGGAGCCCCGCATAGGTACTGGGGGAGGGGAGGGAGAACAGAGGTGTTCTGGGCCCCAAAAGGCGACCCCACCCCAGCATCTCAACAGAACTGTAGTCTAGCCACATTCTCCCTTCCCTAGAGATTGTTGTGGTGGGGACTGGAGACCGGACCGAGAGGCTGCAGTCCCAGGTGCTTCAAGCCATGAGGCAGCGGGGCATTGCTGTGGAAGTGCAGGACACGGTGAGTCCCGGGACTGGGGCATGCTGCCGGGAGCACAGGCCTGACGCTAGACAGGCTGATGCTGGCCTTTTCTTTGCAGCCCAATGCCTGTGCCACCTTCAACTTCCTGTGTCATGAAGGCCGAGTAACTGGAGCTGCTCTCATCCCTCCACCAGGAGGGACTTCACTCAAACCTTTGGGCCAAGCTGCTCAATGAACCACCATGAACTGCCCTGCTGACTGCACTCTGCCAGGCTTCCCGATGGTTTCACTCTTATCTACCCTTTGGCACTTACCTTGCTTATCAACATAATAATTTATACACTTCTCCCATTTTGTATCAGGTGTGTTGCTGGCCAGGAGCTGATGGCTCACTGGGCTCTTGGAGGGGAATGTGAAGAAACCAAGGAGTCACTTTTTTATTTAGATTACTTAGGATTCCTTAGTTTTTCAGAAGCCAGGTAGTAGTATGTTTACCTGTTCTAGACCTACTTCCTCACATGCAGAGTTGAGAGGACCTCAGTGACTTTTCTCACAAAATAGCTGACTTTATTTTTTTGAGATGGAGTCTGGCTCTGTCACCCAGGCTGCAGTGCAGTGGCGTGATCTTGGCCCACTACAACCTCCACCTCCAGGATTCAAGCGATTCTCCTGCCTCAGCCTCCTGAGTAGCTGGGATTACAGGCCCCTACCACCATACCTGGCTTTTTTTTTTCTTTTTGAAGAGGAGTCTCGCTCTTTTGCAGGGTGGAGTGCAGTCATGCAGTCTCAGCTTACTGCAACCTCCCCCTCCCAGGTTCCAGTGATTCTCCTGCCTCAGCCTCCTGAGTATCTGAGTATCTGGGACTACAGGTATGCGTCACCACGCCCAGCTAATCTTTGTATTTTTAGTAGAGATGGGGTTTCACCATGTTGGCCAGGATGGTCTCGAACTCCTGACCTCAAGTGATCTGCCCACCTCAGCTTCCCAAAGTGCTGGGATTACAGGTGTGAGCCAACGTGCATGGCTGAGAGATTCAAATTAGGGAATATTTATATGTCTTGACCTGGTCCTATATGGCCAAGCTATGGGCTAGCAGGATGCCCTATGTATGCCAGTCCCAGGGATTGTTCTTTGACCCTTTGACCCCTCGGGAGCCAGAGTCGGATGCTCAGAGTGTGAGACTGAAACCCCAGGAGCCACAGCTGGTCAGAGCTGTTTTGTGAGCAGCCTCAGGAAGAACTTTTTGAACCTGGAACACATTTATCTCAGGGCCTGAGGCTCCCCTGGAAATGAGGGTGCTGTGTTTGTGTGCATCTGTGGTAGTGGCAGCTACACAGCCCCACCTGTCTGGTGAAAGATCAGGCATCACTTTTTTCTTTCTAAACTTTTATTGAAAAAACCGAGGGAGGTGTGCTGGATCCCTGTTCAGAAAAGCCGCTTCTCATACCTGCAGGCAGAAAGACCACCTGTGAGGTGAGGGCAGGAGAAAGGAGGCATGAGGCATGGCAGAGGCCCCACCAAGGACAGGGTGACTTACGAATGGAGGCTATGGACACCACCTTCCACCTGGGCTGAGGACGTTCTCTTCTCAAACTTAAGCTCCCCAGAGTACATCATGGCTCTGAAGAGGGGCAGAGGTCAAATGTGGGTAGCTGGCCCTGGACCAGCCCCTCTACCCATAACCCAGCTTCCCAAGCTCACCGGACTTGGGTCAAGCTCTTGGCACCAATGTCCTGGCATGAGTGTTGGATGCCAGCAATCAGGTAAGGGACAAATTTGTGGATGGACCCTTTGTCCTGCACAGCACCAGACACCCCCTGGGCCACTTTGATTTTGTCAGCTTCACTGCAGGGAGAAGCAGAGACACAGGCAAGGTCACAGCAGAGATGAGACTGTCAGTGTAGGATTAGGGTGAGGTAACTGGCTTGCTTGTCTCACCTGAAATATCTGTTCTGGCTGCTGAGGTGCTTGTCCATGGCATCAAGAGAACCCATACCGCGATACTTCTTTAGCCGGATCCCATCGGAAAAGAAGTACTCACCAGGGGCCTCAGTGGTGGCAGCCAGGAGAGAGCCCATCATGACTGTGGACAGATGGAGTGCTGGGTTAAAGCCTAAGCAGCACTAGGGAGACGTCCCACTGGCCTTCACGGGTACTGGGCCTCACCTGTGGAAGCCCCAAGGGCCAAAGCTTTTGCAATATGACCCACATTTTGGATTCCTCCATCAGCGATGACTGGAACACCAAAGCGCCGTGCATACTCTGACACCTTGTACACTGCTGTTGCTTGGGGCCGCCCACAGGCCAGCACTGTTGAGATGGAGGAACACATGGGTGGATAGGGTTAATGGGACAGGCAGTGGACCCTGTGGCCACATTTAAGACCCAGGAGCTTTTGGCTACATCTGCATCAGGACTGCAGCTTGGATGAGGAAGAGACATGTCTGGGATGGCTGCTACCCCATGTGCCTTAAATAGTACAAACTGCTGTGCTGCCCTCTACTCACCCCCACATGTGCGCGTGCATGTGTGCAGTGCCCAGGACAGCCTCAGGCACATGCAGTCTTAGCAGCCGGGAAAGCCCCCGACCGTGCAGTTAGTCCCCAGAGGCACTGAAGTCAGGCCCAGCCCTTCCTGAATGGTGGGCAGCTCAGGCAAGGTAAGGGCAGTGGTTGTGTGGGAGAGCAGGTTGTGGTGTGCAGCAGGCAATTGTGTGGAAGAGCAAGGACCACACAAAGGAGTTGGTCCCTGAGCCATGCCTACTGCAGAAGATGTGGGCAGGAAAGGGCCTGCCTAGGAAAGTCCTGCCCTATCAGCACCCCAGGAGGAAGAGGGGAGCTATGTTCTTGAGCACCCCCCACAAACCATGGTCTGTGTATCAGTTGGCCCTGCCCACCCATCAGCACCACAAACCCCGGGAGCTACAGCTACATCAACCAAGCAGCCGGGCAGTGGGCAGCTGGGCCGGGCCAGTGGGCCGGGCTGGACTTACTATAGCAACCTGTGACAGTAGAAGGGCATTTGGGGCTGTGGGACTTTATGTCTGGAGGGATCTTGGGAGCCACTAAATAAAACAAACAGACCAGAGTTTAGAGAAGGTGCAGAGCAGGAGCAAGAAGGCCAGGCTAGGCAAGGGAGTGGCAGGTGAAGGATGACAAGACCTTGTCTTGCTTCCAGCCATGTCACCCATCCAAGAGGTCAGTTTGGCCCCAGAATTGCCCCTATTGGAGGACTCTTGTTCCCATAAGAGTGCTTGGCTCCAAGGTATGTGGGCCCTATCAAAGTATATTCTTACCTTCCTGGGTAATGCAGATGGAGCCACTTCCCATGCCCACCCGCAGGGCATCCACACCTGCATCAATGAGGTTCTTGGCCTGGGCAGCAGTGACCACTAAGGTGAATGAAAGGAAAACGCTCAGGTGAAGGTTAAGGTGGGAGCCCAGCTTATCCACTCCCACCACACATCCCTCAGGGCACAATCTTGCCTTACCATTGCCTCCAATGACTTGGAGATTGGGGTATTTCTCTTTGATGTACTTGATCATATTGATCTGGAAGATGGAATTTCCCTGGGAAGAGTCCTGGGACAGGAACTAAGTCTCAGACTGTGATGTGGCAGCTGCCCCTATTGCCCCAACCCACCTGTGTAGCAGCTCACCAAAACCACTACATCCACACCAGCCTGGGCGAGCAAGTCCAGCCTATACTTGTCATCTTCATGAGTGCCAATGGCTGCCCCACACAGCAGCTGTTTCTTGGCATCTTTGGAGGCTAGTGGGTAGTCCCGGTTCTTCTTCAGGTCCGTCCGGGCAATGATGGCCACAAGCTCATCATCTTCATTTACAATGGGCAACTTTCCTATGGTCAGGGCAGGACATGGATCAGGACCCTGAGCATTAGTTCCAGGCCCTTTCCCAGCTCTAGGACTTACCCTTCTTGCTGCGCTGCAGAATTTCGTTTGCCTCCTTCAGAGTGATGCCTGCAGGGGCTACCACCAAGTCTTCCCTCTTTGTCATTATCTACGTGGGAGGTGAGATGCGAAGGGCCAGTCATCGACTATGGTCAGTCAACTCTTTTTTTCTTTCCTTCCCAAGTAGTTGGGATTACAGGCAGGCGCCACCACACCCAACTAATTTTTTGTATTTTTAGTAGAGACAGGGTTTCACCATGTTGGCCAGGCTGGTCTTGAACTCGTAACCTCGTGATTCACCTGCCTCGGCCTCCCAAAGTGCTGAGATTACAGGGGTAAGCCACTGCACCTGGCCTATGGCCAGTCACCTCTACATGCCCTGCCTAATTCAGAGGTGAAGTTCTATGGACCACCACGTTCATACATTCACACCCAAATCACCCTTCCTCAAGGGATCCCAATAGTTCCTAAGCAGAGTATGGTATTAAGTGAGGGATGAGTAGAAAGGACAACATGGCACAGGGAGCAGCCTCTTACACTATGGAATAAGGAGGACCATCCAGGAACAATGGCAAGAAAATGAGGGCAGACCTCGAGCACTGCCCCTACCTTAGGGGTTTAAAAAAACAAAGCATGAATACTAGCAAGCATTTGGGCAGTTTGAAAGCCTCTGGTGGAGAAAGGATGCAGAAACCCAATGAAGGAGTCAGAAACTTGGCCTGACCCTCCTCTTTCCCAGAGGGGAGAGGCTATCAGAGATGTCATACAGACAACAGAAGCCTCTTTTCTTCAACCTGGGCTACCAGAGCTTGGATCTACTCTGACAGTGGCACCCACCTCTTCCAATAAACAGTCATGTTCCTCCTCTTTGAGAAAATCAATATCCCTGGAGGAGATGATGCCCACCAAGCGGCTCCCCATCCGGCCTGTGTCTGTGATTGGGATACCGCAGAAACCATGCCGGGCCTTGGCCTCAAAAACATCCCGCACACGATCCTTGGGACTGAGGACCACAGGGTCTGTGATGAATCCCTGTTCGTATTTCTGGAAAGGGATGGTGAGAAAGGGTATCGCATCTTCGAACTACTTTCATCAGGCTCTTGATCTGAAGCATGGGGTCTCTGCTTAACGCTCCCTTTGGCAGTGCCACAAGACTAAATCACACCAACACATCTTAGAGGAGACATGGGTAGGCTGGAGGCACTGTCCACCTGGTCTATTGCTGCTGCTTTAAGAAACAGAATCTCAGGGTCTTCTCAGTAACTGAACCTCATGGTGGGAAGAAAGAATACTAAATTAATAGAATAAACCCCTACTCCCACCCCACCCCACCTCAGTGCAATTCCCAGGAGTGCTTGCTAATGATCTTTGCCCTTCTGACCTTCACTTTCCGAACTTCATTGGCCTGGAATTCAGGTGTACAGTTGTGGTGGATGAAGCCAATACCACCTGTAAGCTACAGGATAAAAAGAGAAATACTAAGTGACAAGAGGCAGGACTGGATGCCTTTGGGGAAAGGCGATGGCGTCCTTGCTCCTTCCCCCACACCCCATGGGGCTCACCGCCATTGCTATGGCCATCCCAGCCTCTGTGACTGTGTCCATGGGAGAGGAAACCAATGGGGTCTTAAGAGTGATTTTCTTGGTCAGAGCAGAAGTCAGGTCCTGAGGAGACAAAGGTCAGCCAGTGTGGGAAAGCATCTCTTACTCCTCAAGGTGTTACTGAGTCCCCCACAAAAAGGCACTTTTGTATGACCTGCATGCTAACCAGTAACATCCCATAAAATCCACACCCAAGCCCAATCTGGTGAGGTAGCCGAGACCAGGTGACAGTAGCACCTTAGCTCACCTTGATGTTCAGGACCCAATTCCTGATCATACTTACCACCTGGTCTGCAGTGAAGTCGATGTACCCAGGGAGAATGAGAAAGTCACTGCGAGGGAAGGGAGTGAATTGGGAGTAAAGCTCTCAGGCATAGGGCAGCATGAGACTCCATCCCCATATATCAATCAACTCGTAACCTATGTGAGCAGAGAGTGGCACTGACAGAGCCTGTGTGTCACATAGTACAAGGTGGAAGTGGGGACAGGGGACCTTTTATGCCACCGAGCTGTCATCAGTGCTCCTGGCACCCTGACAATTCCATGTGTCTGGAGCATGGAGTCTCCAGCCTGAAATTCCAAGCACTATTGAGATGTTTCTCCGTATCCCAAGCACCGCTCCAGATGTCTCAAAGTGAGCCCCGGAGGTGGGTGGCCAATTCCCGGAACCTGTCCCCCGCGCCCACGCCCAAGGCGGCTCCACGGAAGCCCCCATCTGGCCTTTTCACCCAGCATGCCACCCCTCTCTTCGCCCAGGTGAGCCCCATAGGCCCGCACTTGTAGGTGAGGCCGTCTCCGCAGTTGAAGAGCTGCTGTGCTGTGAGTCCGTCGTCTGGCACGTAGGACGTGCCCCCACTAATCAGGTAGTCGGCCATGGTCAACACAGGACACCGCCGCGTGTCTCCCAGGACCGCGCCGCAGAGACCTCTACCGTCTGGGCCGCGCCAATATAAAACAGCCGACTTCGTCACTGCGCCGCGCACGTTGCTGACGTCAGGTCGTAGTACGCGCGGCCGGAACAGACCCGCTTCGCTGCGGCGGGGGCGGAGCTGCCGCTGAAGAAACAGCGCATGCGTACAGCACACACTGGCCTCGTCACTGAGGAGCTGATTTCAAGTCCCACCCCACTCCCCGCAGGACCCCGGCCAGTTCAATTAACAGACAAGGCTTTACTTCCGCTGTCCCGCCGGGCTCCTCCCCAAAATAAAGAGGCGTTGTTCACTAGCATGTTGAAAAGACGTGCTTGTCATTCTTAATAAACAACTAGAGTAAGAATACATTAAGAGAAACAGAGTGGTATCTTTATATGATACACAAGTGTATGTTACAAGAATTCCATCAGGCACAGGAGCCTCAGGTTTTAAGGCCTCAATGTTAGGCCAAAAAAAAAAAAAAAAAAAAAAAAAAAAAAAAAAAAAAAAGGCATGGTAAAGTTTTTACTTTAACATCTAAAATGTCACTTGTCATAAAGGAGGGTGTAATAGAAATTGTCTTTAATAAATCATAATTGAAGTTCCCCTCATTTTTCTTCCATTAAGATGCTAAGTTTATGTTTGAGCATGAAGAAAGAAAAGAACATCGTTCCCCTGTGGTCAGCAAAGTCTGTCAGCCCAGTGGAAGTCAGCTGGGGAGATTCCCTTGCAGGGTCCATTCATCATTAATTCCATCTCTCTTGAAGATGGAAAGGGGCCACATTTAACAGTCCAAGCCCTTTCCCCAGGCCCCAGACAAAAAAAGAGTCAGTCAGCAACTTTCTAGGACATATGATCTCAAGGAAACCCAGAGCCACCATCGGCTGAGGAGTCTGCTGCAGCAGGTTTATGAAGATGCAAAGGGGGCAAAGTTTTCTTTTACATTTTAAACAGAAGCAGCCTGAAAGGCTTCAATAACTACACCAATAAAAAAAAGAAAAAAGAAAAAATGGAGGCCTCTTCTTTAGTGTGAAAGTCTCTCTGGTTTTTCCTGGCTGCTTTCTCTTGCACTATGGCCAAGGCATCTCAGTGCATAGTGCTTGCATTGGCCACTGCGATGGCCTCCTGAATTTCTCTTATCACCAGGATCCGGGTCAGCATTTGTCCCATCTGCTCTCTGCTGATAGGCTGGACTGAGTACCAGATTGGGCTGTTGGGGGCCACCACCGGCTCAGGTGTCAGGTAAAAGGTGTCATTCCGGCCTTTCACACTCTGGGGGCTGAAGAATATGTGAGTAAAAGTTGGGTACCACCAACACAACTTCAACCCTCCCACCTTGAACCTCCCAGACAGATGCTGTCTGCAAACAGTAAGGTCCCGAGGTATTGTGGCACAGCTACTGAATTCCATGCAGCCACCACACACTACATCCTGGTCCTCCTTTGGGACTACTGCAAATCCCCCAAATGTTGGGTTGCTTCCCCTCTGCCCCTCCTTCCCACATACCAGCTGTGATCCATCACTGAATGCACCAGCCTAGGGCTCCCATGGACTCATGTGAGTCCATCCTTATCTTACTTGAAGCCAACTTCACTGCTCAAAGGGTCTATCTCCAAGTCTTTGCACATGTTGTGTTTTGTTGTTTGTTTGTTTTTGAGATGGCATCTTGTCTCCAGGCTGGAGTGCAGTGGGGGTGATCTCAGCTCACTGCAACCTCCGCCTCCTTGGTTCAAGTGATTCTCCTGCCTCAGCCTCCCGAGTAGCTGGGACTATAGGCACGTGCCACCAAGCCCAGCTAATTTTTGTATTTTTAGTAGAGATGGGGTTTCGCCATGTTGGCCAGGCTAGTCTCGAACTCCTGACCTCAGGTGATCCACCCACCTTGGCCTCCCAAAGTGCTGGGATTACAGGTGTGAGCTACTGTGCCCGGCCTCATGTTGTGTTTTCTACTCACTAATGATGGCCATTACACTGGGGCCCTTAACTTGGGTTCACTCCCCTCCCCCTAACCGTGCTGTACCTCTATTAAGTACTTGGCATCCTGTATCCTCTAACAGTTATTCATCCATCCATTTAAGATTTATTTAAGGGTTACTAGTGCCAGGTCAGCACCAGGTGCTGATATTAAAAAAAAATGGGCAGCAACAGTATTTCCTACCTCATGGAGCTTACAGATAGGAGAGGACACAGGTAGCAATTAAAGTTACACAAATACAAAATAACAAACAGTGATAAGTGCTACCTAGGGAACAGCCACAGGAAGAGGTGGGGAATGTGGAAATGCTTCCCTGATAAGCTGTGTTTAAGTTGAGAAGAGGCATAATATGATGCCCTTGAGTGGAGAGGAGCTAGTGTGGCTGGGGAACTAAGCTCCACAGATATGAGGTTAGCAAGGGGGAGTGCATGAAAGGAGTTGTCTGCCATAAAAGAATTATTATGTAATGAGAAACCACTGAACGGGCAAAAAGGAGAAAAAGCTGAGAGAAGTCTCACCTAGATTAATGGTGGCAGTGACAAAAGGTCAAGGTCAGGAAGCAGGGCCATGCTCAATATGTGATGAAGGTACATTCTCTGTACCTTCATATCCTTTTCATGAAAGTTGACTGTAGGGACCTGGTACCCCTTTTTCTATCAGTGCTAGGCACATCACACACATTTGAAAAGCCAGGGCAAGGGTGCTTCTACATTTAGCTTTCTGTAAGTGTTTTTATGTGGTTTGGGACTAGAGAATGCCTCTCCCATGTGATAAGCTATCACACAGGTGAATATGCACACGCATAAACACACATGCACACACATGGACGGCCAGTCACAATAAAGCCTCCTCACCATTTGAAGAGGTAGAAATCATAGAGCTTGATGGGACATCTCAATGGATTCTCTGGATTTTCCGTCTGTTCTGCATACATGTCATCTGTAACTATAAAACACACATCCCCACCACCACAGACCTGGCATCAGACTGCCTTACCTCAGTCCCAAATCAGGAACCTTAGGCTTTCAGCCAGCCCAACTAGGAAATACAGGGTCTGGGGAGGGAAGGTATGAGGCATGGGCAGTGACTACTAAGGGAAGAGGCAGCTATTCTCAATGGGGCTTCTCTGCTTCTAGGAGGAAAGTTTGGAATTTTTGGCTGGTGAGAAGGGAGTGGAGAATTTTATCCGGCAAATCTCAACCTTTACACTTATCACCAGCCTCACAGGCACAAGGGCAGGACAAGTAGCACCTGTTTTTACCATCCCTGCCTCCTTTCCCTACCTTTCTGGCCAGTCTGGTGTATTCCAAGGGCCTTCAAGTACCGGATACTCGTGCTTTTATCCTTGGGATTAGAGGGGTTCTTCTTTGTCTGTCGCAAGACCTTGGAGAAGGCCAGCTTCATGTGCTGGTCCACTGTCTTCAACAGGAAGTACCTGGATCACAAGTAAAATGCAAGGCAGAGGGAGGGGTGCCGGGAGGATACCATGACTCATCCTCTGCCTACTGGTGCTTCAGAGAAGCCACCACCCACATTCCCAAGATCTGGGCAGGCTTGTACCCAACCAGTATCCAGTGCAGGAGCTACATCAAGATGGATGGTAGGGGTCTGGCAAGGGTGTTTGCCGCACTGGTTACCAAACAAAATGCAGCCAAGTGGGGTTAGGGCTTTCAGTAGCCCAGTTTCTCAAATATATGTCAGAGGAATTCAGAAGGCCTCTTGGATAGTTTCTACACTCTTCACTGGACAGATGCCAGCAGTGGAGCCTCTAGAACACTTACTTGGTATTAAAGAACATGAGGGTGGTCAGCAAGGTGGAGGGGGAGTGAGCCCCAAGCTGCTTGCACTCCCACAGCATCTCCTCAGTCACGTGGCTGGGCAAGACATAGCCTAGGAGGAATAGAGTACTGTTACAACAAGAGGATGGCAGGTGATCTCTCAAAGGCACAATATAGGAGGTGTGAAGCATAAGGACCACACAGGAGTACAAATTTCATCAGGGGACTCTCCCTAAAGTGTGGCAAAAATCATCTGGAAAGCTTGTTAAAACACAGAGAGCTGGGTCCCAACCTGTTTCTGAGGTGGAACCTGATGATAAGTATTTCTAACACCACACTTGAGAACCACAGCCTTACATGATCGTTGTTACCCTCTAATCCAAGGCTAACACAGGGCAAAAAGACTGCCCTCAGAGACAGTGAAGTACAGAAAACTATAAACCAAACTCTGCATATATGCATACTTCTCTGACAGTGTACAGAGCTTTGCATATTTTCAAAGGTGGTCCAGGACCCAAAGAACTGGCATGCACGCCCGTTTGCCTTACCAAGTATTCTCTCATTTCAACCGTCTCTAAAAAGCAAGGCCAGCCGGGCGCGGTGGCTCACGCCTTAATCCCAGCACTTTGGGAGGCCGAGGCGGGTGGATCATAAAGTCAGGAGATCAAGACCATCCTGGCTAACATGGTGAAACCCCGCCTCTACTAAAAATACAAAAAATAGCTGGGTGTGGTGGCGGGCTCCTGTAGTCCCAGCTACTCGGGAGGCTGAGACAGGAGAATGGTGTGAACCCTGGAAGCAGAGCTTGCAGTGAGCTGAGATTGCACCACTGCACTCCAGCCTGGGCGACAGAGCCTGACTCCTGTCTCAATTAAAAAAAAAAAAAAAAAAAAAAAGCAAAGCTATTGTCATTCATTTTCTAGATAAACAGGAGACTGATACTCTTTGGGGGATTTTTTTTAAAAAATTATTATTATTTTTTGCTAAGATACAGGGTCTCTCCTACAGTCTTTTAAAAAAAGGAAGGCCAGGCATGGTGGCTCACGCCTGTAATCCAGAACTTTGGGAGGCTGAGGTGGGAGAACTGCTTGAGCCCAAGAGTTGAAGACCAGCCTGGGCAACATAACGAGACCCCATCTCCACCAAAAATCAAAAAACTTATTCAAGTGTGATGGCACACACCTGTGATCCCAGCTACTAGGGAGGCTGAGGTGGGAGGATTCCTTGGGCCTGGGAGGTCAAGGCTGTAGTTAGCTGTGATCCACCACTGTACTTAAGCCTGGGTGACAGAATGAGATCCTGTCTCCAATAAAAAAAAAAAAAAAAAAAAAAAGAGATGAGGTTTTGCTCTGTCACCCCAGCTACAGTGCAGTGACACAATCATGGCTAACTGCAGCCTTGAGCTCTTGGGCTCAAAGACTCCTCCTGCCAGTTTCCTGAACAGTTAGAAATACAGGCGTGAACCACCACGCCTAGCCAATATGACAGTAT